TCACTTGGAAATATGTTTTTATATGGTGTTGAGCCAAAAACCAAAAAGAAAAATCGGTAAAAATTGTCAAACTGGTAGGAAAATGCCTGTTTCTCGATTTCATTATTTTGATGAACGCCCGATTTCACCACGATGCTTCACACTTTATATTTTCTGCCTGTCTCAGTAATTACATTAGCAATGGGTTCGGATCCTGATATTTTTGCTTTCGCAATGCCTAGATCATGTAATCTATGGGGGATTAAGCCAACATATTACAACTGACCAACCCAGTACAGGTTGTACAGAGCGATGTTGACACAACCAGGAGTCAATTTTAAACTGTGCATTCTACGACAGTGTTAATTAAAATGTCAGTGATTCTGAGCGGTATTAATGTCTTAATGATACCTTTTAGGAGCTCCATTAAAACAGTTTGGTATCATTCTGGACCACCGTATTGATGACCCTGGTTCAAATCCCTGATGACGTAGCTTGTGTAGGGAGTTTTTAAGTTTCTGCGATGTGGACGTTAAGTATGAAGGTCCTGCGTATAGGAGCTTTACACAATATCAAAATATGGTTTGTGCCATGGCTGCTACAGTTGCATTTTATCAGCCACTGCTTTGTACTATAGATACTTTTTAAAGACTTAAGGTTTTCAAGCCTACCAAATTTCATGCAAATAATAAGTTCTTGTAAGTTTCATGAAATGTAATGTCACAATATATCTTGCCTGTTTTCTTGCACTGGCTGGGTTAGGGTTTTTGGTCAACTTGACAATTTTTTCCTCACAATGACAATGACAGTAACAATCTTTATTCATCTCGCAGGGAGAAATTTGTCTTGGAAATTTCCTTTCTGATTCATATTTGTCGCCTGCATGCAAGTTTGTGACAAAAATACGTGAGGGAATGGTGGGCCTTATAGCTGACATTGAATAAGACCCGCAGTTGATCTAGTACAAGGAGATAAAATAATTTGAATTAAGCAAAAGAACCACAGGATTTTGGAAGAAAAGCAACCCCCCCCCCAGACAACATTAGAAATTAGTTCACATCTCTTTTGTTTGTAGGGGGCAGGGGTGCACAGGGGGGAATAAAGGGGGGGGGGAGGGAAGGAGATTGCGTCGTTCTATCCCTGCACCACACCACTGCATGTCGTTCAAACTTTGCTAAATAGCTAGATATAGTTCGATCAGCTAAAGGACATAGGTATAACCTATAGCAACTTTGTTATAAAGATAAAGATATAGCTTCTTACCGAACTAGATATGAATCTGATTGAACCTTTAAAAGCTTTTCCCCTCTCATGTTTTAATGACCTGTTAGCTTGTTCGTTTGTGTAAAGAGAAGCACATTGACGCAGTAAGACAAAGAAAGACAGACAGACAGACGGAAACCACAAACGGACAGGAAAGAAGTAAAACCTACCAGTGGTGCCCACCAACAAGCTGCATGTACTGTTAGCAGTTCATTCAGAAAAGAATGGTTTACCTCGAATGTGTTTTTGCTTTGTTGAGAGAAACATCTTGATCAGCCAGATATAAATGTTGGTTTGTCTTCATCTTTATCCATATTTCCTCTCTTCCCACCCCCCTCCCCACCCTTAGAAACTTGCTGATGTCACTGACAAACTGCTGTCCGCGGACGAGGTTGACTGGCCAAGCACTATGGAGCCAGACAGTGACGAGGAGCAAGCGATATCCCAGGCCGCACTGCAGTATGGCGAGGGGAAACACGTGACGAGCGCCAAACTGCTCGTGGCCATGGATGACCTCAGTGACGTCTCCATGAGAAGGAATGACCTCACAAATGGCGTCATCATTACCAAGAACAATTTTGGTAATCTTTGAAACGTTTCGCCAGAAAATATAGTGGGTGGTTGGCAGGTGCTCTGGTGTGGTTTGCTCCTTCTTTCCTGTCAAATAGCTATCGTCCTAATCTTTCCTCCTTCTTATTGTATATTTGTTACTCTCTTGTAACACCTCTAATCTTCGGAACTTGTATGACCTTATTGTGTTGCAAGTGCCGTAAAACTCTTACGAAAACTAACTGGAAAATATAGATACATACTTTTTTAAAGCTTAAACATTCTTCAAATGAAAAACTGAATAGGTTGCTTGTTAATGTTAAGTAACTTTTATTTTTCAAGAGATTTATATGTACGTGTAATAGTATCAGCAGCCAGTTGTTCACCTTTCAAAAAATAGTTTTTGGCTGTTGATGTTGTTTTTTGTTTTTTGTTTTTTGTTGTTGTTGTCGTTTATGCAAATGAGTAATGCCTTCATATTTTTTCTATTTACAGTGATCCGACAAAATGTTGCTTTCGAAGACATCATATTTCCCGATGAGGGAGAAAATGTCACTTATGAAGACTGGGTCAGGAACTCAGGGACTGGTGTTTTCTTGTCCAAGGAGGCTTTTGCGCAAACAAAAAGTGAATTTTCCCCCCTTCTGTTTTCCACTTACTTTACTCATGTGTACTGCTGAGGCAAGGACAAAAAAAACCCAACACCCCC